ATTTCCCACAAGTGCATTTAATAGAATTCTTTTTGGCATAATTACCACAAGCATCCACACCTAACTTTCTTTAAACATTTTAGAAGCAGTGGTTTTGATAAATTTATTTGCAATAAATTACAGTGATAGACTAAACAATATTAACAATTACTACAACGGATATTCCTGTAAGATAAGAGCACAACAAACTACCCTTTAAACAAGATCTTGAATCATTCTTTTGCAGCCTGCCTTCAATTTGCCTATAGTCTGATGTCAAAATCAGAAAAACTTATTTAGGTGATTAAACCATTTTTATTCTCATATCTCAGAATAAACCTACCACACACCAAGATTCCAAGAAGTGGTAAATAATGTCGTCTAGCAGAAGACACACTGAGGAGAAAAAGTGGGGGAGTGACATTTTGTTTTGTTGCAAAACTGATTTGCATGAGATATCTTATTTCCCAAATCTAGGAATGGTCTACACTACCACTCCTCAAGTCATTACCTCTGGTTTCCTGATGACAGTGGAAAACATTGGAAAGCCAGAATGGAGCTAGTGAGCTAGAAATTATAAACCACAAAAATGAGGAATCCTTTTTACTCCAAAAACCAAAAAAAGTTATTCTGTCACAACCAACAAGAAAAAAAAAAAAGACAGTCAACTCACTTATTCGCATTTGAGCAATCTTGAAATTTGTCACCAAGGTCTCTGGTGTTATTAAAATCCTGGGAAAAATGCCAAACTAGATTTCTTCTGAATCTTTGCTAAGATGTCAAAGTATTGAGACTGTTTTGAAAAGTAAGTGATTGTCGTATTTGGAGTCCTAGAAGTGTACAAGAATTTTATATTATATCCCACATCAAGAAACTCATTCTTAATAGGTAATTTTTTTAAGAAACTCTAAAACATAACTTATAACTCAGTCTTCTCAGTTTCCTGAAAGATAAGGTTTTTTCCTATTGTAAACTCTCTCTCGAGTACTACAGCTTTGCAAGCACCTCTAGTTAATCAGTCTTGTATCTGAAATCAATTCTTAAACCTCTGAGAGCCAAATAAAGAGCGGATGAGGCCCGAGGAATTCTTTCTAAAATTACATTAACATTTGACATTTACTTAATTCTGGCGGCCGAATAGAATACATATACAGTGTGTAGAAAGGCTCCAGCTATAATGCAAAGTTGTAAGCTGTGAATTAGGTGCACACAAGTGTTGGTTAACCGTGACATCCTAGGAGGAATGTTCTGGATAAGAGCTTCAAGCTTCCATAGTTTTCTGAGAAAAATGAACAGAACCTATAGCTCAAAAAAAAAAAAAAAAAAAATCAGCTATGGACCACAGAGCCCAGTCAAGTAAAATAATGCCGTGTCCAGTCTGGCCACTAACAGCAAGAATGGGAAGGTGGGAAGAGCATCCATTATCGTTCAAGATATCAAAGCTTGGTCCAGACAAGTCTTCTTTATACTTCAGTCTTTTTATTTTGAAAAGCCTCAGGCACCACTAAACCGCCAATGCGCCAGGCCAGGGCCGATCGGGGAGATAGACGGCTCTCACCCGGGAAGACCATAGGGCACCCTCGTGGCCAGACCCTGCCGCGGCTGACCTGTCCCCTCGGGCGTTTTTCGCGACCACTTCTACCCCTTCTCAACTGTCCGCATCCAACCAAGAGCCAGGACCGGGGCAGGAGAAAATGGGGTTCGAGGAGAACCATTTCCGCACATCGACGCAGCTCTTCCACTTCCTCCCCATTCCACACAAGATGCAACCAGCCACACCACTTCTCCTAAGAGTAAGTCTGCGCCACTTAAAAAATAAATTTAACTGTTTTCAAGCACAAGCAACTTCCCCGCTTCCTTCCGCCCCTCACCTTCACGAAAGCAATCGGGGTTGTGGTACCTTCGATATCTAACAGGATCACAGTGACTTCCGCGGGCACCGAAAGAACGACCATTTCCCCCACCGTATGCTAATAAGGGAACCGGCCTACTGGTAGGGAGGGCGGAGGGCGGCGCCGGCTGTGCCCCAGGTATGATCCTGGGATTCCGACAGCTCCGCAGAATCTCGGAGCCGGCGGCCGCGTGCTGCCGGGAGTGCGTAGAGGAGATGCCACCTGCCCACACCTGGAACTGGAGGAGGCAGCCGCCCGGGAACCCTGAACGCGTGAGCAGTCCTGGGCAGTGGCCGAGACCACGTGGGCAGGGAGAGGAGGCGGCTCCTACGCTGCTCCGAAGGGGCGGGGCAGGTAAAGGCGCCGGCGCCTATTGGCCGCCACAGGCCGCGAACGCCATCCGTCAAAATGGGCTTCGCGTGGGCGGGAACAAAGAACGAACGCGGGAGCCGGGTGCGCGGGCACGCGCCCGCCGCAGACTGGTAGAGCGAGCGGGAGAGGCCCGGGGCACGTGCAGACGGGAGCCCCGCGAGTGGCGCGCCGGGGATGTGAGTGCCCCCTGCCCTCTCCTGCACCCAGCCCCTCCCCGCCCACTGCCTCTGCTTTTGCATATTTACAGTAATCTGACCAGACCCCGCCCATCCTCCCGTCCTCAGCTAGCGAAAGAGGCCGCACTGGGCCTGGTTTGCGGCCGACCTTCTGGGGAAGCCTGCCGCGCCCCCTCGGCTCGCGCGCCCCTGGCGGTAGCGAAAGAGGCCCGGCGAGGCCGTCGCGCTCCCGCTTCCTGTTCGGCTGGTTCCAGCCAGCTCGAGGACAAAATACGCGTGCGCGCGGCGGGCGGGCGGACGCGCTCGCCGCCTCAGCCGCCAGCGCCGGGCGCAGTCCGCTTTTTTTCCGGAGCAGTCCGGCCACGGTGCTAGTCGATAACAGCAGCCGCCGCAGCAGCTCCGCACTGGGGGACCGAGGGCGGAAAAAGGCGGGGTTGACGGCTCTTTGCTAGGAGTGGGCTGGACCGGACGCCAGAGACAAAGGCTCTCAAGGCAAGAGGGACTGTGGCCCTGCGTCTGCGCTGCTCGGGATTTCTGGCCCCAGGACTTCACCCCCCTTGGTTTTTCTCTTCTGATTCTTTTCTCATTCCAAGCCCGCGTCCCCTCCCGCGCGACCTCGCTCCTCACCGGGAGGGCCGCAATGGAGGTCCCTCCCAGGCTTTCCCATGTGCCGCCGCCATTGTTTCCCTCCGCTCCCGCTACTTTAGCCTCCCGCAGCCTCTCCCATTGGCGGCCGCGGGCGCCGCGGCAGCTCGCCCCGCTCCTCCCTTCGCTGGCTCCCAGCTCCGCCCGGCAGGGGGCGCGCCGGGCCCAGCGCCACGTCACCGCCCAGCAGCCCTCCCGATTGGCGGGCGGGGCGGCTATAAAGGGAGGGCGCAGGCGGCGGCCGGATCTCTTCCGCCGCCATTTTAAATCCAGCTCCATACAACGCTCCGCCGCCGCTGCTGCCGCGACCCGGACTGCGCGCCAGCAACCCCCTGCCGACAGCTCCGCCACCATGGAGGACATGAACGAGTACAGCAACATAGAGGAATTCGCAGAGGGATCCAAGATCAACGCGAGCAAGAATCAGCAGGATGACGGGTACCGCACGCTTCTCACTCCCCCCTCCCCCAGTGCGCCGCACGCGCCCTTCGTCCCTCGGGAGCCTCGCGCTGCCCCCTTTCTTGTCCAGAGTCGATTCCCCGCGTGCCCGCTGGGTCCTACTGGCTTGAAGGGAAGAAGAAAGTAAGGGACGGAGGGGGTGACTCGAGAGGCCGGCGGAAGGTGGGGGAAGGGCAGAGGGGTTGGAGGAGGAGGGCGGCGGCGTCTGAGTTCCGAGTGCGCAGGCGCCGCGTGGGCCCCGGGGGGGGGAAGGGGCCGGCCTGGCTGCGCCACATGCTGCAGCTGCTGCCGCCTCTTCATTGTGTCTCGGTTACTGCTCGGCGCAGTTTTCTGGGGAGAGTTAGGCGGTGGTGGTTTGGGCGTCGGTAGACGAACGGTGCCCGGATTTCCCAGGACGCATTGTGAGAGTTCTTAAGGTGGAACGTTGGTTTGACAGCTGAGGATGGGCACGGCCCTGAGTTGTGGGGGATCAGTTGAGGAAGTCGAGCCTTGTAAGAGAATCTGGGCGGAACCTTTACGGGGTTTGTTGGTCCTGTCTAGGCTTTGTGTTGTGCGGTGTGGAGAGCAGCCTGTTCACTGCCTGAATAAGTAGTCTAGGAGGAATTGTTGTGTTTCTGTGATCTGTTTATGCGTGATTGTAAACATAGAGTAGGTGGGTTGCTCTTCAGAGGTAAATTTGTTTACTTTACAGTTTACTTAGTTCCAGGACTTAAGTAGTTATTAAGTTACTGCTAAGCTTTAAAAAAAAAAAACAAAACTTTTGTTTCTAGTAAAATGTTTATTGGAGGCTTGAGCTGGGATACAAGCAAGAAAGATCTGACTGAATATTTGTCTCGATTTGGGGAAGTTGTAGACTGCACAATTAAAACAGATCCAGTCACTGGAAGATCAAGAGGATTTGGATTTGTGCTTTTCAAAGATGCTGCTAGTGTTGATAAGGTAGGAATGTGTTTTGCGTTTGTGTTGCTTTTGTGCATTTTTTGTGCATTGTTCTGGGGTTTGGTTGAATATTGCTGTCAGATTAAATAAATCTGTTTTCTAGGTTTTGGAACTGAAAGAACACAAACTGGATGGCAAATTGATAGACCCCAAAAGAGCCAAAGCTTTAAAAGGGAAAGAGCCCCCTAAAAAGGTTTTTGTGGGAGGATTGAGCCCAGATACTTCTGAAGAACAGATTAAAGAATATTTTGGAGCCTTTGGAGAGGTGTGTGGTTATACTTACACTTATTCCATGTGTTTTATGTTCATCCCTGGCCCTTTTTTTAATACAAATTCGTGTTGCATGTGAGGAAAGGATTAAATTAACTGCTCAATCCCTATTTTAATTGTTGCTTTCCGTGCTATAATGGAAGTGAATTGCCTAATTCATCTTGACCATAGCATGGTCAAGCCTCAATGTGGTTGGTGTTCTTTTCAAAATGATGTTTAACTTTTCCTCTTGGGGCTTCACATGTACAGCAAATCACTCTAGGCTGATGCTGACTATGAAGCACTAATATTTATACAGAAGACATCTGATTAGAATGGCATGTTAAGTTGAAACTTGGAAAGGACCTTTGCATTCTAAAATCCCTTGGTAACAATTTGTCCTTATTGGGTGATGTTGACTATGTGTCTTGATTTCAGATTGAAAATATTGAACTTCCCATGGATACAAAAACAAATGAAAGGAGAGGATTTTGTTTTATCACATATACAGATGAAGAGCCAGTAAAGAAATTGTTAGAAAGCAGATACCATCAAATTGGTTCTGGGAAGGTAAAAGCCATTTAATTATGTTAAATGACAATTTTTGAGTTACGGAATAAATTTTTTTTTTATCTATTTAAAAAGATTTAAAAGGCTTGATTTTAGAAGTCAGTTAAAATTTGTGTATTTTTTGATTTGTTTATAGTGTGAAATCAAAGTTGCACAGCCCAAAGAAGTATATAGGCAGCAACAGCAACAACAGAAAGGAGGAAGAGGTGCTGCGTCCAGTGGACGAGGTGGTACTAGGGGTAGAGGCCGAGGTGAGACTTACTTAATACTTGGGAATTGACTTTCATGGTTTAAGCTATATACTGCTAAATATGAATGCACCCATGAGAGAAAGCAAAGCTAAATTAAACTTGACAGTGTTCCAACATGGGAAAATGCTCAGCTTAGTTTTGAAAACCTGTTCAAAATGTGGCCACTTTTTGACAGTTGTCATCTCTGATGAGAAAACTATTCCATTACATGATACACCATGGTATGAAGCTATCCAAGTAGGATAGCTTCCTTTTTCAGCTTTAATGAAAAGTTTAGTGATAAATGTGTCCATTCTACCTTTCAGGATTTGCGGAGGGATAGGAATATGTCACTTTAGGAGTGGGGGGATCAGAAGTTGTTTCCTAACAATCATGCATTGTTTCAGGTCAGGGCCAAAACTGGAACCAAGGATTTAATAACTATTATGATCAAGGATATGGAAATTACAATAATGCCTATGGTGGTGGCTACAGTGGCTATGGCGGATGTGATTATACTGGGTATAACTATGGGAACTATGGATACGGACAGGGATATGCAGACTACAGTGGTAAGAATATTTAACTTAATTTTATAAACCAATGGTATTAAAATTCCATGTTGTATAATCCTATTCTGAAATCTTTTTGTGTGTATGGGTTTTCCTTTTAATTTGAAGTACTTGGAGTTAAATTTTGAAGTGTGTTATAGTCATGGGGTGATAGAATGTGGCTATAAAAGCACTAGGATATGTGGTTTATGACTACTACAGCTGCTAAAATATCCCACTTGTATTTGCCATGCAAAGATTCACATACTTTATGATAGTTTTTTAATGTTTTTGAAGAAACCACTGGATAGAAAACTATGTTAATAAAATTTTTATCTTCTCAAAATAGGCCAACAGAGCACTTATGGCAAGGCATCTCGAGGGGGTGGCAATCACCAAAACAATTACCAGCCATACTAAAGGAGGACATTAGAGAAACAGGTGTGTATAAGAATCCAAGAAAGCAGTGGAATTATCTTAATTTAATTTAAAGATCAATAGACAAATGGAAAATAAGTAAAAGCAAAATATTACTTAGCCTGTTTTTACTAAATTGTTCATTTTTTTAATTGCTTTATGAGCCTGTTTTGCCTAAAGTGTCTATAGATCTTTAACTTTAAAGTCTTATCTCACTTTTTTTAGTAATACAGAAAAACTTAAAAGTTTTTCTGTTTGCTTTGTGTACCAGGTGGTCTAGAGGAATAATTAAACTTTTTTAGAACTATTAACAGGTAAAGTACTGAAATGGGTACAACTTAAGGAAAACAAGAATGTTGTCTTCTAACTCTGACATTATACCTTGTTTGTACCCGCCAGCGGGAACTTCATTGCAGGCCGTGTGTCACCCTGACCACGTCTATCTCTGGGGGTCGCACGTTGCGGGCAGAGCGCAAGGCATACACCAGAAAACGCTGTCCTGTGGTATGGTCTCTTCCAACTTCATGTACCAGCGTAAAGATTAAAGTGGAAAACTTCAGACTTTGGCTTCTTTTTTTAATCTTTTTGGAGATTAAGTGTCTAAACTTAACTTAAATGGTTTTTTACAGGAGTTAAAGTACATAAATGCCTTTTTACAGCTTAATCATTTTTGGTCTTCTGTTTAGTGTTGTATTTCAATTGTGGAGCCTCATTTTAAGTGTTCATTCTTTAAGATTTAATGCTTGCTTTTTCTTTTTATAGCTAATAGTGAAATCTACAAACCAAAACAAGAACTTTTAAATCTGGGATATAAATTAAAGATCATATGCAGAAATCAATTCATGTTTGTGTACTACAGTAAATAAACTTACTTAGAAATTTGTGTTTGTGGTAGCATTTTACTTGGCTTACTAGAGTTGCTTCTAGTAGACCTTAAGTTAGCACAGTTCAACCTGTGAATATGGGAAGATGCATTCCCAGATGTTCTACTGAACAGATTTGAATTCAATATTTCGGAACTCCAGGATGAGTTTATTAATTAACCAAACTATATTTTGCCAATAAATATGCATGTGATCTTTAATTGAAGAATAAAGTGAGGACTTAAAACAATTCATGAAAGTGGACCTTTGAAAGCTTGTCAGAGTTTCACAGTGTAATTGCTATTTTGTTTTTGTTTTTAGGAGGAAATGCTAACGTAACCCATCTTGCAGGACAACAGCGAAGATTGGTCTTCTGTTGATCTAAGATGATTATTTTGTAAAAGACTTTCTAGTGTACAAGACACAAATGTGTCCAACTGTATATAGCTGCCAATTAGTTTTCTTTGTTTTTACTTCGTCCTTTGCTATCTGTGTTATGACTCAATGTGGATTTGTGTTTATATACATTTTGTTTGTATGACTTCATGTTAAACTTCAAATAAATGCTTCCTTATGTGATTGTTTTTCTGCGTCAGGTACTACATAGCTCTGTAAAAATGTAATATTTAAATAAGCAATAATTGAGGCACAGTTTATTTTGTAGGAAGTGTTGACCCATGGGGAGAAATGATGGTCCTTTGTAAGTAGCCAGCCACATTGTCATCTTGTTCCCCAATTGGTAGATGTATTTTGTGCTCTTGAGGCTTCCTCTCCCTGTTTACTGTTTACACCACACCTTTGAATAAGATTCTTTTCTCCATGGTTATCTGAAGACATTGTCATAAGACTGTCATAGTATTGTGCTTAATGAAAGATTTCTAGTAGACCTTGTGTCTACTAGACTGTATTTTTAAGAAAAGTACCTTTTTAACACAAAAATACTATCTTTTTGCTTTGTTCTTATCTGGAAAGGCATTTTTAAGTTACTAATTTTGGCTGTAGAGTTCTAATCAATGGTCTGCTAGAAGCAGCTTTGGCCAATAATAGTGCCATGACACTAATTCTCTTGATAAAAATGCAAGTATGCATAGGAAAACTATAAAACTGTTAGGAGCTATGGTTTAAGAGCACTGGAAGTAGTTATAAGGATTTGGCGGGTGAGGTGTGAGATTATGCATCAAAGTTTGATCAAAAGTCAACATTTGGAGTAGAGGCAGAATAGCTAAATTTAGTTGTATTCTGTTACGTTACAGCTACCACAAAGCTGAAGAAAGTATTTTCTATGGGCATTCTTAACCAAGCTGTACTACAGTTAACTGTTACACTGTGTGAGTGAGAAAAAGTCATGATAGTAAATCTCATTTTTTAATAGTGCATGAATTGAGTAGTTAAGCATTTTCCATATTCAGATATAGGAAGGAATAGTAAGAAAACATATCTTGAGAGTGTTAAATGTTGATCCAAGTGTGACTGACTCATGTCACTACAGTGGATCTTCCTGGTACACTAAAAAACATAATAACTAAGCTTAGAGGACCTCCTGAGTAAAAAGCTTTGAATTCTGCCCTCAGTGTAGTTAATTGGTTTTAGGGAAATCTGTTTTCCCGGTTACCTGCTGGGACTGGCATACATGTTCACATGCAGAGTAGGTGATCTCAACTAGTGTTAACTTTTTTATGCTGACAGACTTGCCTTGTTTCTTTTTAATTTGGTGCCTACATTTTTTTCCCCCACTGACGTTTATATTTGCTGGGCTATCAAGTTACAGTGCTCTTGGCCTTTTTGCTCCTGCTTTTTGTTATTTGACCTTACACCTAGGCCAAGTACTAGTGTTGGCTACTGCAGGGGATTCTGTTCATTCTTAAACACAACGTTAGGGGCTGGAAGGGAGTTCATTTTAAGTTGTGCTGTCAGGTGCAGTGTCTAGAGTAGTGAATCTTGTAAATTCAGATTTATGATTAGGTGACAAGTTGACATTGAGATTGTCCTTTTCCCTGATCAAAAATGAATAAAGCCTTTTTAAACAAAATCCAAACTCTTCAATCAAGTCTTGATATGTATGACTGACTACATCTAGAGATCGTTGTCTGAGGTGTTGTAGTACAAAGAATCGGGGGAGTGAGAATGCACTTGGTTTTATTCTTCAGGGGCTTTGGACTTGAGGTTTATTTAGTTCAGTTTTTAGGGTTTTGCAGTTCAGTAATGTAAATCTGAAATAGATAAACTAAGGTTAAGTGCACTTGTTAGTATCCAGGTCTTTTCCTGAGAATTTAAACAGTAATTTGACTAATTGAAAGGGAGTAACAAGGCTATTCTTAGCCTTAAGGCAGTTTCTTTGATTCACATGTTAATACTCCATAATCTCTGCCACTTTTTAATGTTAGGACTTAAAAATTGAAGTATCTGTTGGGTAAATATGGATAAGCAGAACCTCATTCCATTAACTCTTTAATGAGGTCTTTTTGTAATCGCAACAATTCTTAACTATTCATAAAATTAACACAAGGGCATTTCTGAACAATTGAGTCAACTACACATTACCAAGATGTTTTGGCATCAAAGCTCGCAGCAACCTCAAACTCTTAGGGCTCAAGCAATCCTCTTGCCCCATCCTCAGTAGCTAGGACTAGAGGCATCCACCACAACACGGCTATTTTTAGAGACAAGGGCTTGTGTCTTGTGCAGGCTGGTTGGGAACTTAGGAGCTCCTGAAATTTATCTACCTCAGCCTCCTATAGTGCTTTGATTACAGGCGTGAGCCACCACACCCTACCCTGTATATGTGTGTAGATGTACCATTTGAATTGCTTTCTAGTTTTGAGCAAAGTTAGGAAATTATGTGAAAAAAAAAGCTTTCCAGCCTTGCCATGTAATAACACTGGTCTCAACTTTTTGAACAAAAGCAATGCAAATTGTCTTTTCATGAAGTCGAAAATGTATTGCATAAAAATAAAGATTGATCATTAAGGATTAGTTGGGAATTTGATTTTGTATTGAATTGAGCAAGATTTGTTTTTATAAACTGTAGGAAAGGATACAGTGATGTTATGGATGAGAAGATAATGCTGAATTCTGAAGATTCATGCTACACGTAAGCAGCGGTTTAACCTCTAGCTTTACTTCCCTGTCAGCACCCATTCAAAAAACCGATGTGTGGTTTGAAAAGATACCAACCTTGGCCGGGTGCAGTGTCTCAAGCCTGTAATCCCAGCACTTGGGAGGCCAAGGCAGGTGGATTGTCTGAGTTCGAGATCAGCCGGAAACAGAGACCCAATCTCCTTAAAAAATAGCCAGGCACTGTGGCAGGCCCCTGCAGTCCCAGCTACTCGGGAGGCTGAGGCAAGAGAATGGTGTAAGCCCAAGCAAGAGAGGTTTCTGTGAGCTATGACACAATGGCACTCTACTGAGGGCAACAAAGTGAGACTTGTCTAAAAAACAAAAAAAAGATACCACCCTTGTTACTTAAAGAACTGAAATTTCAAATTTTTTACCTTATGCCTAAGATGAGAGACCAGCCCAAGTGACAAAAGGAGAAGTTTACTGCGGACAATTTTTTCATATTCTGCAAGAATTATTTCCATTTGAAAATCTGACCAAACAGGAATTCTCAGACCAGAACCCAGAAATGTATGTCTCTACATAAATATTTTAAATATACTCTTCAGGGAAATTAGACTTTGGAAGCCATCTGGCTCAACATCTCTTGAAATTGCTTGTATCATTTTACTGTAACTGATTTAATTGAAAGACCAGGATGATTAACCATGCAAAAGGTCGTACTGAAAACCTTGATTAATCCCCTAATTTTCAAGTTGAGGACATTAGCTAATTGAAACAACTCAGATAATATTTTGGAGCCTGTTAAATTTCTGTCAAATTTACGAAACTATCAAGGGTGTCTGAGACCTGGGGTTTCAACTGAAGTGTTTGGTCACTTTGGGCAGTGACCTTTACCCAGTAAGATTGATCAGTAATCTTTAGTACAGTTGGTTTACAAGTACTGAAATCATTGTAGCAAAGTAGGATTATATTACAATTCATCTATGGTTGTTCCTCTGATGAAATTTGAGCTTGAATAACCTGAAGCAACTACTTGGTCTCATAAAAGGTCTGTACTATGAAATTGACAGTGATTATTTAGATGACTTAAACCAAGATACATTTAGGGCACATAAACATTTTTTACATTCATTTCCTGGCAAGCAGAGGAATGAAAGGAGGGTGTGAGTAGTGGGGGCTAAGTTGTATTTTAGGGTATTTAAAAATACTTCTTCACCAAGAAACTCTAAATTTCTCTCCATATGATTATGTGTTTTGAATGGCTTGTCAAATACATTGATTTATTATATAATGGCATTTTTATTAACAAAGGCATATAGCTATCAGAACTACAGTGTGATGATCTAAATTAATACCATTAAGTTAATACAATGCCAGCCATTGTATGTTATGTACTTTTTTTGTTTGTTTTGAGACAGTCTCTGTTGCCCTGGCTAGAGTGCAGTGGTGTCACAGCTCACAGCAACCTCAAGCTCTTGGGCTCAAGCAATCCTCTTGCCTCAGCCTCCAGAGTAGTGCCTGGGACTACAGGAGTGCTGCCACCACACCCATTTAGTTGTTCTATTTTTAGTAGAGATAGTCTCACTCTTGCTCAGGCTAGTCTTGAACTTCTGATCTCAAGTGATCCTCACGCCTCGCTTTCCCAGAGTGGTAGGATTACAGGCAAGAGTATGTACATTTTTAAATGATATGTGATCTCTACCAGACTTTTAAGATAATGAAAATGAATAATAGAAACTTTGATTACTACTTTCTGGGACTTCTAGAACTACACTTAACCACATCACCGGAGATAAGGGGAAAGAAAAGACATTTGGAGTGAGATCATTTTCATAACCTGGCAAAAGTGTTATTTTTAAATACTTGGGGTATGAATACTATTTTTTTTTTCCCCTGAGTAGAGTGCCGAAGCATCACAGCTCACAGCAACCTCCAACTCTTGGGCTTAGGCGATTCTCTTTCCTCGGCTTCCTGAGTAGCTGGGACTACAGGCGCCTGCCACAACGCCCGTCTATTTTTTGTTGCAGTTGGCCTGGGCCAGGTTCAAACCTGCCACCCTCCGTATATGGGGCCGGCACCCTACCCACTGAGCCACCGGTGCTGCCATAAGTGTTTTAATTATTAGAATGCATTCAGAAGTAAAAAAAGGCCTTCAAGTCATACTTTGATCTTATTTAATAGACATCTTTTTTCATTTTTTTTATAATGTGCACATGGGTCTTAGGGCCTGCCAAAACTAAGAATAATTCCACTCAGACCTAGGTTTTTCCTTACATTAAAATAATTTTAATGGCTATTAGCATAATGTTTCAGAATATCAAGATATAGACATTAGCAAAAGTGTTTCTATTTTCTATTATCCACCCGAAACAATAACAAGTTGAGACATCCCATTGCACTTCAAATTCTCTGCTGAAGGTAGGACTTTTTTTTTTCTTAACATATTGGACCCCAAGAGAGGAGAGTCTTCTCATTGGTAATAGATACAGAGACCCACAACCAGAATCCGTAATATTATGCATCTGAGTTTTCTCTTATGGGCAAAAATGTGTGCCCTGTGAAGAAATAAAATTAAGTATACCAAAAGGCAGGCTTCTCTCTTTATTCAGTAGAAACAATAAAGGAGAGACTCTTAGGCAGGAAATACATAGATAGGCATTACTGTCCTCTTCACTGAGTGTTCTGGGAGTGTACACAGACTTTTGGTATAACTTGATTAAGAACATTGGTCAGGGTGGTGCCTGTGGCTCAAAGGAGTAGGGTGCCGGCCCCATATGCCGGAGGTGGCGGGTTCTAATGCAGCCCAGGCCAAAAACT